CTTGCTCATTTGATTTCTATTGTACAAGTTTTATAATCCGTAATATATTCTATTTGAAATTATTGATTTCAAAAGTTAAAACAAAATTTATTTAAATATAATAAGAATAAACAGTTCTGATAGTACTGCATTTTAAAAATTACATATTATTGCATATTGCTCCTGCTGCACAAGGTGGTAATATATTAATGACATTTTGCTTGATACATTTTTGTTCATTTAGTTCTGTTGAGGCAAAAGTAGCATTAAAAACTGCCACCCAGTGGTAAATAACTAAACATAATAGAAATTCATGGACATTTTAATAAATTGTCACCAACCTATCAGCACATGTAGCCTGAATAGTTATTATAATAGTGTGGAATGAGTATACCCTTACATTACTATGTATACATTATACAACAACATAAAAAACTAAATTAATTTTCCAAGAACTACATACAAAAATCATTTCCAAATCTTTATATATATAATTCTTCTGTGAGTGTGTATGTCACTGAACTTCTCTCAAACGACTGGACCGATTTTGATGAAATTTTTTGTGTGTGTTAAAGGGGATCTGGGAATGGTTTAGATTCACAATTTGAATAATCATTTTCATCAAAATGGTCTAGAATGTTTTAGCTTATTAAAAAAAGTTTGAAATTTTCAAATTAAAGATGTGTAGACAGGACAATGTCTGTCGGGTCCGCTAGTACTATATATATACAGATAAAAAAATCCTTTGTTCACTTTATAGAGAAGAATCTTTTTATCTCATTATTATTTAACACATTCATAAAACAAAACTGCAAATGAAGTATATACATGTTGCTATTTTTTATTTTTTTCATTGTATGTTTTTTATTTAGACACAGACAGACAGATATTATTTTGTATTAGGTCAAATATATTGTAAATTATAAGTAACAAATTGGAACATTATAATTGTAAGAGTTTTTACATTTACACTTTTTACATTCAGGTTTCTTTAGGATATTATGTATGTACAAATATAATGCACATTTTATTAAAACTTAAAATGCAATCAAAATATTTATACCTATTGACTGCTCAATTTCATTCTATGTTTCTTATATATTTCAGGTGCTGCAAACTAGAAAGAAGCTCTCTACCCTAATGTAATCTTTGTTGGCCAACTTCAGGATTAGAGTAAGATGAAGAATTTATTATAAATATTTTATAGCACATTTATTACAATACAATACAATTTATTATGATATTATCATACCCAATATATGACATGGAACCACACAATTCACTAACCACACATTTGGGTTAAAATTATTGTTAAAATAATCCTTTATTTTGCAATACGAGGATAAATTGGACATTTTTACTCACATGAAAATACATAAGAATATGGGGAGTTCTATTACTTGTTAACTTGGTCTATCAGTACTCAGGCTTTGTGGTTGCAATGCAATGGTATTAAAAACCAATCCTCTCATACTGATGATTAGGACAAAATGCTTAAATTGTTTTAAATGTTGGCAGATGCTCTGAAGATGAAAGACACCTTCTATGGAGTACCTGCTAACGAGACAAGATAAGCTACAGTCGTTTACACACTCATAATACATTACTAACAACTAACGCTCAATTAGCTCGGGTTCTTCCCTAGTTTGAACATTTAGCTCAGAGATGAGATATTCTCCCGCAGTAAAAAGTATCCTACATGTTGACCCATCATCATCATCATTGGATAACCAGCTATAATCATAACAAATTTCATCAAAATCTGTCCAGTAGTTTTTTCATGATGCGGTCACACAAAAATTCTAAAAACTAAATTCGGCCAATATCGATTATAATGTCTATTTTAATAAGATTTTCCAAAAAATATTTAATGTACAGATTCGGCTTAAAATTTTATAAAATGTAGAGATATAGATTAACATATCGTCGCCTCAGTGATGTTATTGTCTATTTTAAAAACAAAACTATTCCTAAGATTTATATACATATACTAGCAGATCCCACTGATTAGCCCGCATTCGATCTACAAAAAAAACTTGCTTTATGTTATATAGCGACTCACTCTAGCTTCGTTCGGGGTTCGTCCCTATGTATTTATGTATTATATAGTTATTAAATTATTTGGATATTGTTCATACAAAAATACTAAAACTTAAACTAAAAAAACTGTACAAATTGACTTAGTTCTGTCAATCAGTAATTTTTTTAATGATTAACAAAAAACTTTTTTATTCCAGAATAGTCTCGCCGTGGAAATATCAAAAGTTCTTTTTTCTTAAAAGATAATCGTTCTAAGAAGACCACTATTGCAGAAATTTTACGTTCATTAAAGGAGCTACAGTAGAGAATACTTTTAATAATGATATGTATGATAGTATTGAGTTTCACAACAATTATTTTTTTACAAGCTCTTGGCAACAAGCAAAAGATGATGACACCGTCAAATCAACGGTTTGCTGCTGAGGATGGAACTTGAGTGCATAACAATGAATAATAAACAAAAAGTATCTGATCATTTTTTCGGTCATTCTTCTTCTCTCTTGGTAAAAGGTTTCTTACCCTACATGGGAATTTCTACTCTATACTCGATTCAAGATACTGTGAAAAGGAACAAAGAAAAATTATAAAGAACTGCCTTATTTATATATGTATGATTTCAAATTTGTTTAATTTTATTATCAATATTTTTTACACAAAACGTTCAGTTCTGCTAATTTATTTTATCATCAAAAGAATTATTTTGGAAAATACATACCTACAAACTTTAGACAGCTACACAAAATTGTATATACACATGGAGGATGAGCGAAATGAAAATTTAACTACGAAATTAGTATTGTATGTAAATGTTGCTTTAAAAAAATACTTTATAAATGAATCTGAAGAATTTGTCAAAATAATGAGGTTGTATTCTTATGCGTGAAGATCCATCGGAATCGAAGTTGTGATATACGTCAGGAGAAAACACAGTACTATTAGTCCACCACCAATTCAAAACGGTAATAGCAAGACGGTGTCTTCAACATCGTTCTGCTTCGATAATAGTCTGGATGTTGTGTGGATTCACAGGTACACGATATCTTTTAATTATTCCGAGGTACTTTGAGCAAAAATCGAATTTCGTGTAGATACTTGGAATTTTTAAAGGAAAAATGAAAAGGAATGATTGCGGCATAAATTAGAATTGATGTTTGCATATCATTTTGGATTTTAAACTTTCTAAAATTTTTGAGTTCTCATATTCGTGAGTTTCTTACATTTTTGCTATATGAATAATCATTATATTTTAACAGTGTCGCTCTTGGCTGATTGTGGTACTAACGATGGATGGAAAAGAATGTGGTAAGACTGGCTGTTAAAGTTTAGAGAAAATGATGCCACAATTTGTCACTAGATGGCGCTGTTGCAGTTCTATATAAATGTAGGTCAGTTAATACTTAGATTTACACGAATTTTTGACATTCAAAAAAAGCCTAAGTAAAAAAATACGCACTATACATACTGTAGTCGAACGGTGCCAGAATGTAGTCGACCAGTGCCAGAAAAAGAGATACAAATAATCATATATCTGGTGTATTGAACATTGAAGTATCTAATAATTTCCATTTATGCCACTAGCCGTCACCGGCCGCTTTGCTGGGCGTTCGTAAATGTCTCTTTTGGTCTTCAGAGACATATTTAGGTTTTTATTTATAAATTAAAAAGGTAAAATAAAAAAAATGCTGAGTCTTGCATCGTCAATCTTTTTGTTTTTAAATTCGTTGACAATTTTTTTTAACATTTCATTCAGTCGATTTCAAGGTCAGCTACTTTATTTTTACCTTTATGTTTATCTTTCGGGTCCCAAATACAGAGTTCTAATAGAGAGCATTCGAGAAAATGCAGAATTTTCGCAGAATACCTAAGGACGCACAAGCGTGTGGATGCAGCTCAAGTGCTTGCCGCAAACTCCCTTTGCCTTGTGCATCAAAAGCAGACACTCGAACGAAAAACGAATTGAAAACGACCAAAAGTGCTATTAAACCTAAGTTAATAAACCAAGCCTAACACTCGCATTTTTGTAGAGGCTTACCAAGCGTCTTGACCCAGTATTATATAATGTATCCAATACTTCATTTTTAAATTTATAAGTTACCATAAAGTCTCTTTATAGCCTTGAAATATTTGAAAAATTAAAAAAAAAATAATATTGTCAAAACTTATCTATAGGTACTAATATTATAATTTTTTCGTGTTTGTATAAACCAAAAATCCGCTGAACCGATTTAGATGAAATTTAGCATGAAATAGTTTATAACCCTGGTAAAGACATAGGATAGTCTTTAGCTCGGAAACCATCCCTGTGTGAAAAGATGGATGAAAGTTTGTATGAGGAATCAAATCATTTCTCAAGTAAGGAATCTAAACTCATTAAACCTATGTATTTAGTAATATAAAGTATCTATTTCATACTAACCGTACTTAGGAACGTACCCAAGCGATGCGAGGGTGAGTCGCTGGTTTGTAAATAAAATTCTATTAAAAAATTTGCAATGTTACATTTGCCATAATTTTATTTATAAATACTAAAAAAGAAGTTAAAGAACAAGAAAACAAATAATAACTCACCTGCCCCGTATAAAACGTAAAACGTCAAAATCGTCACGTCTAATTTAAATTATATATATCGAACCTGCTATCTATTTAAATCCTCTTCTATAAATTTACTATAGGAACAAATGTTTCTACAGTACTTTACCTTTTTCTTATACCCCAAACTCCGTGGAAAATAAATGTATTGTGTTAAGCTATTTGAAAACCAATAAAAAATTTATTTCAACGATCGTATTTTATTATTCTACGAGTTTATTTTATTTCAGCATTATATATAAATGATTGTTATGTTAAAAAAGAGCATAAACTACATCAGTAAGTAATACGTTTTTGCATTCATTTTATAATGCAAATAAATCCCAATGAAATATTCAAAAATGAGCCTTTGTTTGGTTCGAACTATACAATGTGTATGTATATTGTACAGAATGGTATCGCAGGCTGTTGGTGCAAACATCGCTAAGAGCGTCACTACATCAGACGATCAGACAGACTTGCAACAAGCTCTTTTTCTAGTGAAGCTCCTCAGATCAGGTCTTTTAAATTCTTTAATGTTTCTAGTTTATAGGAAATTTGTGTGCTAAAGATTATTATACATCATACAATAAATGTTTATATACATATGTTTATTACACGTTGGAAATGGAAATTGGAATTGTAATCGCTTCCAGGCTCTCTTTTAATATTGAAGAATATATAAAAGATAAATATAATTTTAGTCTCACTAAGTTTCTTTCGCTAGATCTGTTTAGGACTAGGCCTGAAGCACTTTGCCGAACTGGTGTTAGATCTGTAAGAATTGTTATAACTCAATGTTGGGGAAAAAAACATAGATTTGTTTTATAGAATACGCCCGGGTGCTACGAGAGAAAAACGATCTACTTACAATGAATGTCATGAAGAAACACGAATTCGTGACGTCTGCAACTACTAACAGAAAATATGATGAGACTGAAACAAATCGACGCTATATAATAGAACGTAAGATTAATTAAAATACATACAAATCGCTTAGGTGCAACTTTTAAAACTTACTTTCCGTATCATATTCCGAATTTAAATTTGTTACTTGGAAATAAGATTTCAACGGACAGCTTAAAGCCCTACTATTTATTAGATACTATTCATATGATAATTAGGTTAGTTTTTCTCATTATATCATCGGTGGTGTAGTGGCTAGCATGAGATGGGCCGCCGTGACCGGAATCGGTCAGGAGAACATAATTCTGTAAGTACCTACAGAATAGGTACAGTCATTGTTTTTAATAAATATTTCATTTACAGATTTCGCTAAGTTACGATTTTAGTCCGGGCAAGTTAGCCAACAAAATAGGGGTAGGTTAACAAAAATTCACATAGAGCTGAAAATTTATACGAATGTTCAGAACACCATTATAAATTAAATTTAAAGTTCCCATCGATCCCACAATTGCAAAAAAAAATAATTAAGGTCAAAGTTCGCAAATATAGGTTTTTTGCGTTTTTTAGCCAAACGCTAAGTTTTATGATTAAAATAGGTCAAACAAAAATTGTAGCTTATGCAATTATCTATAAAAATTGTTTCTACAATTTTTCTCCCAAACTTCACCGTTTCTGAGATATTCACAGAGTATTGCAGTTATATGCTACTGAAGTCCTAACAACTGTCCGCAAAATAGACACAATAGTTAAACAATCGAAATGTTCATATAAGTCTCACGGGACAGGGAAATGGTTAAGTATAACTTAACCATGTCACTAAAGTATATCTGCTTTGGTTCTTTCATACAAAAATTTCAATGTCTTATTACCCAAAAACTATTAGCAGCGGGCTGAAAAACTCACATATTTCACAATTTCGTGCGATAGAATCTTTCATTTTCATGAAAATATAAAAATATCACGTCGCTCATTGATATCTATAAATTGTATAAAACAAAGTCGCTTCTGCTTCTTTGCTTATTTCTTTTAAACTAAGCAACGAATTTTGAGTTTTTACTAATAGGAAGAGATAGTAAACGAGAAAGGTTTGCGAATATAATTTGTAAATATTTTGTACAAAAAGGGTTAAGCCTAGTCGGTGTTTTGCCAAAAAAAGCTTTACTACGATTAGGTAGATGGCTGTCGCTGGCTGAACCTTTAGAGATAAATACAAAGAATGTACCTACCTAATAGAAAATTGTAGGTCTTAAAAAGGCCTACAGAAAACTACGCTCACAAAAACTACTATTTTTATCTTTTTAAATTGACGCTCCCCAGTAAAGCGAGGATAAAGGTAACTTTACATACACGAACATATTATGAAAACCCAGGTGGAGAGCGTCGCTTCCAATATGATGATATGTTTGGGTCGCATCCAGAAAATATAAATTCGTCTAAATCGATAACTGAAACATCAACTACCATCACTACCTCGTCTCCTGTGAGTGAGAGTGTAACAGAAAATGCTACAGGACTATCAATTTCATCTACATTGGTGCACCATCAAGAAAGTAATTTCTTCAATCATACTCAGACGACAGAGCACGACAGTTCAAGCTCACCAATTATAGCTGAACCCGCGCCATCAACAAGTGAGTTTGTAATAAGAGTTAATTCTATGTTCATTGATAAAAAGGCCAGTGACGATGTATACTGTCTAGAACCACCAAATGTACTCTGCAGTACACATTTTTTGTTTCCCATTCGTAGTATAACCATCGGTCGTAGATACATATGCTCGGTAGTTACACCAGTGACCAGTGTAACAACGGCTCCAAAGTCGCAGCATCAGGTCAAGGTTACCACATCATTGCAATGTCTTTGAAGTATCGGTATACTAATTTTCGAATCGCCTGCAAGAGGATGGACTGATTTTCTTGATATATAGCTATATGTGAAATGGGTATTATTTTCTTGCGAGGCTGACGAGGCTTAATATACTTAATATTATAAATGTGAAAGTGTGTTTGTTTATTTGTCTTTAATCATAGCCAAACGGAATGCCGTTTTGGCGTGATATTTTGTGCGGAGATAGTTGGGATACTGGAGAGTGACAATGTAGGCTACTTTTTACCGCAGGAAATCATCTATTTCCACGGGAAAACACGTTATAATACAAACCAAAAAAATATTTACGATAGGAATTACTTGAAACTTGCTAGCAGCTATAAACTTGAAAAATGCTCTTCAATACAATAATTAAATAAATACATGTTTTAGTATTTTTCGAAATTACTCTCATAAGGGTGTAAAGCATGGCATGAAAGTTTGTATGAAACCTATCTTTTTAAGAGTACTTCTTATTAGCGCGAGCAGTATTATATAATAATTATGTGCGTTTGTTTGTCCTTCCTTTACATCGAAACAGAGTGACTGACTAGCGTCATTTTTGTATGGAGATATTTGGGAGGGCTGGAGAGTGATATACCTATAGACTACTTTTTACCGCGGTGAAACTTGGTATTAATGCTCTACAATACAATTAAATAAATACGTTTTAGCATTTTTAAGCGGATTCTGTTAGTAGTAATATTTATATTAGGAGGTATTGACTTTAATGAGATTTGGAGTTTCATTATTTAACAGTATGCCCTAACTACGTTTTTATATGTTGAAAGTTTTATGTAATGTATTATGTATTCTAGGTACAAAAATAACATCTCTATCATTACATAACATAACACAAGATATTAAAAAATTGAATCATCTATTGATTCCTGAGAAATCATCACCACCATGCCAAATGCAACCTATCTTCAACCCAGAGATATCACAGGCGGCGGTAGAATTAGAAAAGGAACTTTCTTCTGGATTTCAAAGCAAGAACTCCGCATCAAAAATGCGGTCTACGGCATGGCGCACATCAATAAGAGTACACTTAGCAGGTAGTACTCGCTATCCCATACCACTGCCCGAAAACCATGCCTTTTGTTTTACAAACCCTAAAAACGCCTTATGTCGCACACTTATATGAATGAAAACCAAATATGTTTATTATTTCAGGAAATATTGTTGCAAATAAAAAGAAAACAAAATTTTCATCAATTTTTATTACGTTAAGAAACCTAAATGTGACAATTTTTCATTGTTGTTTAAAATAGCATTCTTATACTATATTGAATTTATGTATTTTTTTTTAAATTCAGTTCCCAAAAACATGCACAAAGATAATTATCATATTCATTTAGTAATATTGAGGTAGTTATTAGTTTCTGAACTTATACCAATTACAAAATGGTTCTAAAAATAACAGTAAAAATTCAAAGAAAATTTTGGTGGAATATGTAAGAAATGTAGATACTGAATAAAAATCAACCTTTTTAAATGTACATTGGACCATATTACATTCAGACGAGCAGCAACAATAACAGCTCCTCAATAAATTGACCCTCGGGCACGTGGCGCAGGGCTCTGGGCGCCTATGCCGTATGTGCTCGACCGCGCTCTCATTTTTAGAATTAGCCAAGTCAATTAACTTTTCTTTATTAAATTCAATTACATTAAGTTATGCATAATATGAAATCGATAATTCAGTCGATCACACGCCAAATACACAAAATATTGATTACACACATGAGAAATGAATATTATAATGTAATCTATAACAGTAGAACCATCAAACAAGAATCATAAAGTAAAGATATGAATACCATCGAGAATGACGTGTAGACGGCGGGTCGCGGGCGACGCGGCGGTGTAGTTCAGTCTCGGGCCGCGCGCCCGCGTCTGCCTCACAACTTAACTCTACTTTCACAACGATACGATACAATAACTAAAACTATTAATTTCTGCTTCATACACATTACGAATAACAATATTATCCATATTACGATACTCCTGATTACACTTGGAAGGAATTAACGACATGCCTATATGTACACTCCTACAGTCGTAGTCGAGCGGCCGTTTACACCGAATAGATACTGCACGAAACGACCGACGCGCTCGCATTTTGTCCGTAGTATATTATCATGAATATAGCTTTTGTAGGTTGCTGTTCCCAATTCAACATTCGACGTTTCAAACGTGCTAATATGAGTTTATACAATATTGATATTGGTGTCAATCGAAGCAAGGAAACTAACCGACGGCCAGGTGTCCTTTAACATTCTCACCTGGCCCTCGGTAGGAGCCTTTCATTTATTTACTCACAGGTCTAGTACAACTGCTAGGTTTAAACTCACCATGGCAATAACATGAATTCGAACTACATATTAATAAAGTACATTAAGATAGTTTTATTAGCTACACAATTATACTCTCATAACGACGAAGAAACTTCTCTAATTCTCTAACTGAGCAGCTAATAAAATAATCAAGAGGCCACATCATGTAAATATTGTAATATTGGTATACGTACACACCTGTAGTACGATTCCTCATATCTTTAATACAAATTATTACATGATAAGGCCCCCGTTAACAAACATACAGAAAAACTTAGGCTAAAAGACTTAATAATATAAATAAGCCCGTTTAAAAGAAGCGAAACGACAGTGCAAATTCTTAGTAAACATAATTTTGTTGGTCCTGGTCCTTATTACACAAAGCAAATATTTAATCATTGTTTATTTATAAATCTAAGGTCGCAAATGCCCCGCGTACACGCTTTTACTATCATTCTAATGAAAGGTGCAACATATATATGTATGTTTATAATAATAAAATACGTTAAATAAATCCAATTTTGTTATCATCTAACATCTGTATCTACCTGTACAAAAAGTTGAAGTGATTTGAATTATTACGTTAATTTTAAGTTTAGTTAAATATACATGGAATGTTAAATAAAGCAATAACGCGTTACAAGTTACCTCGTCAGAGATTGTCACTTCATCGTCCGTCCGACGAGAGCGACAACTCACTGTAGCCGACGCGGCGGCGGCGAGTGACTAGAGCGCGAACGCGGGGGCTTCAACCTTAATCTTACATTTTACAAAGGAACGTTCATATTAGACCTTTATTTACCATCAACTTCAATTCTCGCATGTTTTAAGGATTTTCTTTCACTTACAACGCGCCTACTTTAATGGGTTTTTAGGAGTACAAGATGTCCGTTGTTACTTGTTACTTCAAGTATATTTGATATACATAAATTAAACCTTTAACCAGAATTTTAAACTTTTGAAATGAAAACTGTCGGTCATCAAAAGATATTGTTGGTAAAACAAAACCTACTAAGTACGTGAAGAGCACGTAAATAATATATTACTTTTAAGTAAATGCAGAAGTAGGATAAGACAAAAAATATCAACATAATATTATGTTCCAAACGTAAAGCCTAATTCACTCGATGATTAATATATTTGATAACGGCTATTTGATGTCAGTTGATCAAGATTAAATTTTTCTCACGCGGAAATAAATCATTATATAGTTCGGTAACGGTACATTCGGTGAAATTGTATGCCAAGAGCGAGATAGTTTTCAATAATATGTGGAAGTGTCCAGGTGGAGTCTGCAAGCGATGACTGCTTGGCGCGCGCAAGGAGGTGTTCCAAACGTCGCGGAGGGCGGCGGGCGGCGGGCCAGTGTGAAATGAAAAATTACTCAGATGCACCTGGAGGCGGGCGCCTACTACTGGCTACTGGCACGCTTAACTATATTTTATACTCTAGTCTCGAGTCGAGATAATGATAAGAGAATGTAAAACATTCCTACACTTTTGCCAAACTTCCATATATTATTATCACATTTATAAATATAAATATCTAAGCTTTTCATTAATTTTGATATCAATCACTTAATCTTAATCTCTCATAGTAAAATATCTCACTTGGCACAATTATAACGCAAATCGTACACTTACATAAAACCGTATCGTCGCGTGGAACCGAACGACCGCTCCGCGTCGGCCCGCACCGGCTCGCTAGCGCCGGGCGGTTCGGCGAGACGATCGCCATTGTCGCATCGATACAGGAAAACCGTTATAAAGCTAACAAAGACAAAATTACAAAGAAAACGATCAACAAATGTTACTTACAAATAAAAACTCGTACCTTTTAAGACCATACCGTCCAACGATGATTAATATATAAAAATATTTATACTCATCGTAGGTGGAAAGAGCGCCGTTAGGGGTGCCTTGACTAAGTAGTCGACTAGTCAGTCTGTCTCACGGTCCGTCCCTGGTCAATCAGTCGGTTGGTCAGCCCGTCCATCGATCGGTGGTTGGCCAAGCTACTTGTCGGCTCGCGCGCATATATCTATCTGTGTTACATACGTTGCGGTATATTCACATCGCATTCAAAGCATTCGTTGAGCCTCTTATGTAAAGCGATGTCGTGTTTCTCCATTCCTCTTCGGTTTTCGCAACCCACACACCCTTTCGACTAATATCAACAGTATATTGTAGTGATTCAACAGATTAATCTATTACTTCATAACAAAACAAAATATGTATTACCTCTCGTTTATATAAAAATGGTGCTGTATTCTAACCTATTGCTACTAACATGTGTATATTGTATAGAGAAACATAATCGTCAACTATTGCGTTCAATGAAAACTCTTTACAATGCTGTATAAATAACATGGTATGAAAACAATATAACAATTAAATATATTCCGGCTTATTCACATAACTGTCACTATCGTTAAAAAGAAATAGTGTATATGAATAATATAGATATACAGACATATAATATATATATAAAATACATAATATATATGCAATTACTCGTCAACATTAATCCCGGGATAAAATTCGTCAATAGTACATATTTAATTACAATTCACTACTTTAATATAATTACGTCAACAACAACATTGGACACACAGGCTGCCAACACATAGAAGCTCTGGAGGCTGCACACGGCGGGGCGGGGCGGGGCGGGGCGGGACGGGGGCGGGGTTGGGAGCGGTGAGTTAAGTGGTGAGTGTGGGGTGGCGGCGGAGTGACGGCGGGTGGTGGTGGTGGCGGCGATGGCGGCGGGCTCCTACTGCTGCGCGGGCGGCGGCGGCGGCTGCGCGGCGCGGCGGTGACGGCCGGGCGCGCTCGCCTGCGCCACCATCGCGCGGATGCGTCGCTGCGCAGACTGCAAGTAACCACCAACGCGACACATCACTACATTGTCTCTCCAACATACTACCAGCTACATTACATACCTTCGCAAGCAAGCGTACCTATATATATGTACATCATTTCGCCTCATCTCCGGAATTCACGGTATATAGTAATAAGGTATATAACAAAGCATAATATATATATATGTGCCATCATATGATATTCTCTTTCATAAAAGCCAAAGTTGCATAACAACAATCATTTCAATCAAACAACTTCACAATCATTACAATTCATAACGTCAATTTATTCGCACTCATTTATTCCAGCGTACATGTAGTTACGGAGTCCATATACAAAAAAATATATAAAACATCTTAGGAGTACACATCGTTATATAAAAAAAATACAACAGTAAATTATTTAAAATTTTATTTAATAAATACAATACCATAATTAATGATACATTCGCGTGATGTCAATATACATATTTAATAGAGAGGATAGACTCACCTATCAAGAAGTTGAAAACGTAATAACGTGCCGCCATGACGGCCGTCTAGTGGCATTTCATTGTGAGATCAACACATGTGGCTCCGAGCCCACTGTGCGCACGTCGTCACAAGGCTCTCATCCCGCTTCGGGCGACCGCTACAACATTTAAACATTTATTATGCCGCAGTAAGTCGCCAACATCTCCATTAACCATTTCGCATTGCGCCAGCTAGTTAAATGCAGTACTTATCTTATAGCGGCCGATGACCTCCCGACGATCGCAACCACGACACTGGACTTGTAACTACATGTACTTTTCGAATACAATACATACACGCTCCACACACGTACTCTCATATGATTTCATACCCTCACACAGATTACCATTTAAATATTTATATATTTCACACAGATACATTACTCACAACACTATCTTATTATAAATTATTTTCGCTTTGCAAATGAAATAATCAGTTTCTGCATTGAGTCACTATAATACTCATACACATTAAATTAATTATGAATGTAAAATAAACAGAAGTTGCTTCAGCAGAAAATCACATTAAAACGTCTAAATATTGTCACATGACTGATGCTGAAGACATAATAATATTGTATATGTGGAAATTATGATATAGGTCATAATCAACTGAATTTTGTGTTAGAACTTTAAATATTTTCGTTTAAAAGCGTTGTTCATTATTTTATTAAATAATTTTATTCATAAATGTAATTAATATGTGTATGTGTGTATAATGGCATGAAGCCATAAATATTTTAATTTAAATTATCCTTGTAAATTGTAAAGAAAACATCAATGCCTGGTAATAATAATTTGGCATGTAATAGATTAATTAGGCCCTCGTATAATAACACTAATATACAAAATATAAAATGACTATCTCAAATCTTCTAATTCATATATTATATACATAATAAATAAGCCATAGCATATAATATGAGATTAAAAAAATTGCTCAATATAAGTTATATACCAATACAATCTGCATGTATATATATATATAAGGGGGTAAAGTTATAAGGTCGTACAAACCTGGACGCTGTAGAAGGGGCCAACGATGTGCACGGTGGTCTCGTGGTCGTGCGCGGCGGCGGCCGGCGGCTGCGGCTGCTCGGGCAGCTTGATCAGCGAGCCAGTGACGCGTTGGAGCTCGCGCACGTTCTGCCCGCCCTTGCCGATGATGCGCCCCACCTGAGACGACGCCACAACTATCTCTACAGTCAGCCGCACGTCGTCCGAGCCGGACATGAAGCCCTCCTCCCGCATTTTCTCAAAGATCAAGTATTGTGCCTGAAATTGAAAATAATCTTATCAAACTTAACATTGACTATTTTATTTTAATCAACCTTGTTAATATGGAAATTAATTAGACTAAACATTTACATTTATGTAGAAATTTTATTATACTACATCGTACATACGTAACATCAAAGTGTAAAAAAACATTTCACAATGAACAAAGTTTTTTGAAGTGAAAACGCTTTTTGGTGGGAGCAAAAGGTAATTGGTTCGCGTCACCGACATACTACGTGCAACATGACATGACGTGACATGTCGACGCAGTCTGGGGCAGACTGGCGGGTGGCGACACAAAGGGTCGTATGATTTGATTAATAAATAAACTATATCAAAATGTGAATATTTTTGTTCAGAGTATCAATGGATGTAAAAAACCAGACTAATAACAATTTCAACTTACAAATTATGAAATTTTAATTATTCATACTATAATTAATTTGAAAATAAAAAACGCAATTATTCCAAAGTAATAAGTTTTCACTTCTGTCGGCAGTCTCCATGACTGGCTATTTTATCTTTTTTAAATGACTAGCGACTAACCCTCCGCTCGGGTTCATCATTAGTTACGTTTTAACGTTTAGCTCAGAGATAATTTCCCGCAGTAAAAAGTATCATATATGCTGACCCGGATAACCAACTATCATCATACCGAACTTCATCAAATCTGTCCAGAGGTTTTTTCAGATAAAAATTCTCAAGACTATATATTCGGCCTCTGTATCAATAATAATGTCTATTTCAATAAGATTTCCCAAATTTTTTTAATGTACAACAGATTCGGCTTACGAGGTTTATTAAATGCACTAGCGGCTAACCCTCGCGTCGCTCGGATTCACCTCTAGACAAACAAAAACAAATCTATCCCACGGGAACCGTATATTTTTCCAGGATAAAAAGTAGTCTATTTGTCATACTGATGTATGAACTATATTAAAGTTTCATTAAAAGCCAATCAGTAGTTTTTGTAGTTAAGCTGTATAAGTTACTGCAGTTTTTAACTATCCCACGGGAACTGTTTAATTTTCCGGGATGAAAAGTATCTGAAATGATGACCAGCCATGCAAAATTTCATTAAAATCAGTCAAACAGTTTCGGAGATTAGCCAGTACAAATAGATAGACATTTGTTCGATTTCTCTTCTTACATCCTAGGTTTTTAACATTTTTTTCTATGTACAGACATTCGACCTCTACAGTTTTATTATATATATAGATAGATAACAAGTAGTTTTAGTAAGCTTCACATACTACAAACAACTGGAAATATTAATCACCCATTCATCATGAACACCCTACTTTCACCGGACACAAATGCTTAATTACAGCCAGGTGAAACCAGCCAAATATGTTATATGGTACCAATCTAGGTTTACTAATATCTTATAAAGTCAATATTTATTAGTATTGATTTTTATAATATACGTGTAAATAAATCTTTAATGTAAAAATCCTTGTGATCAATTTAAATCAATTCATCTTCGTAGGCTGCAAGTGTTTGCGTCGATTGGCATAAGCTATTGTTGTTTATATGTTACGTACATATGTTATTACACAACATAATTTATCATAGCATTATTTACTTAACTACATTTAACATATTTATTAACATACCTTCCATTGAGCCTCGGGGCTGCCAACTATAGTGACCTTGCGCTCCTGTTGCGCAGCAGCAGCAGTACCTGCGCCCGCGCTGGTGCCGCCCTCTGCGGCGCCTTTTTCTTGTTCGAGAGGCGCAATTTTCACTGAGGCGTTGCTGAATCGGATTATGTTGCGAATATGGGATCCCTTCGTGCCAATAATGGCACCAACTGCATTATTGGGGATATATAGATAAGTGGTCTCTTGAGAGTCACCGGCGCCCTGCTGCGCGCTGCCTTGGCCTGCCATCGGCGTATAAATGGGCGGAGGGAAGGGAGGTGGCGCGCCGCAGAATCCCCGACCCGTCGACATCATTGCCATAGGATGTAATCCTGGGAACATTATGCTCTGCGGCGCCAGCACCTGTTGACATTAATTATTTAGCTTACTTTTTGTAAAAAGTGAAACATGAAAATAATACATTTAAATAAAAACTATACGAACCTGCAGATCATTTTCATAGCTTTGACGCAGTTTAGCAGAAATTTGCGACTCCGCTTTTGCCATGTTTTCAATGCTTCCCTTGACAGTGATAATTCGCTCCAAATTGAAGCTGTTAATATCATTTATAGATGAAACAGTAATCTTAGTGTCAGTTTCTTGCATAATTCTTTTTATAGTATTGCCTCCCTTGCCGATGATACGTCCAATTAAATTATTGTGTGCCAGAATTTTGAGACAAATTTCTCTGAAATAATATTTAGTTGTCAAAACTGATCGTAATGTAAAAAATAATAATGCTTTTGTCATTAATAAGATAACTTCAATTTTAATGGATAATTCCTCACCCCTTATTGGTGTTGTTGGCTTCCTGCTGCATCACTTCCAGTATTCGCTTACAGGCATTAGTACAGTTATCTGGATTGCCATAGATGGTGATGGCTTTTTCGAGTGAGCCCACATTATCCTTACGGTGCACATCGACACGGGCGCGGCTCTGCTGTGTTATGAGACGAATGGTGCTGCCTTGCCGGCCTATGATAGCGCCCACCATATCGCTCTGAACAAGCAAGCGCAGTGGAAAGTCCGTAGGGCGAGCCCCGGTGCCCGGTGCGCCGCCACCGCCGCGGCCGCCACCCGGTCGCCCACGCCTGCCACCGCGCGCCATCCCATCCGCCGCCTCCACTTTCATACGACTCCCTTCCACCTCGCATCCATTTAGTCCATTGATGGCCCTGTTCACACACAAACCATTATAAGCATGTTTTATAGATGAAGTGAATCAAATATATTTCAATGACAAAACATGTATTTCTAATAAGAAATCTGCAAATTTTTAATAAACATAAATTTTACTAATATTATTATACCTTTTAATGATTACATTGTATTTGTCGCTTGATTTAAAAACTTTATATAATATTCTAAGTAAAAATTAAATCTCGTTAAAAATGCGAATTCTTCAAAAAAATATAACATACATGTTAATTTTTCATTTACCACAACTCCATGCATATAAAATACAGATAACCTGAAAGACCAGATTTATAAAAAAGCACTAGATTTGCGATAGTGAGGAAAAAGAGGAGTGAGAAGGAAAGACAGAAAGAGAAAGACATCACACAATAATCACACATGCAAATACTGTCGAAAATGCAAAGTGCGTAGAAAAGCGGAGGAGACCAAGCAACCGACAAAGTTTCAGGGTAAATCAATAGCGTGTCCCCTAAGATGCCGACAAATTTTTTGGCAATACTTACAGCTGCGCTTGTTCCGGGGTCTCGAATGTGATGAACACCGCTTGGGTGTTGGGTTCGCGCGAGTTTGCTTTGTCGCAATGCTGCACGTTGCCATACTGTGAGAGCAGTGGCTCGATGGTGTCGAAGCGAGCATGCAGAGGGAGCCCACTGATGAGAATCCTTGATCGGCTGTGACAAGCGACAAATCCTATCACTTAATGTAGCAAACATCATCATTCATTACACAAACCGAAAGGACTTTACGAAGTATGAGATTTGCATCGGCATCGATTATGTAACACCAGAAATAGCTAATTAAATTCGAGTTTCATATGGTAGTTTAAAGCATCCGTATAGGTATGCCATGGTTGGCGTACGAGCGGCTAGCGACCCTCAATACAAAATGGCGGAGCGGAGATGACATCACCGGCCGCACTCTTCATCGCCCCCTCCCGCGCCAATTGCACCCGTCGCCATTCACAAGCGAGTCGATAGTGGTTCCGTTGCACTCGCGCGTTCGCCGTATGACCCCTTCTAGTGCATTTACCTAGTTAACCACTATACTCACGAGGTAGCATTACACACGCTCGACAAGCCCACCTAAACTACTATCCGTTGTAAGAGCACTACATTTACTCTCTATAGTAAATTTGTAATTATAAACAATGAGCTTAAAATGTATGCTTAAATTTATTTATGTTAGTAAACAATGTTCACAGTATTTATATGGCCTAATTATTATTATCATAAATTGATTGAATTCATAAATGTAAAACAACCTTCCAACGTAAAAAAGTTTTTATTTATTCACTTATCACATAAATTTAAAACGCCGGTAACGCCCATAACTTAATGAGAGCAAACGGGAAACGTCGAACAGTGCTCGGTAGGGTCATATTTATAGAGCACGAGGCTATACACTATTGTTATTGTAGTGACCGAAGGTAAAGGGCGGAACCCCTCGTTGAATAGTGGACAACCTGCGATGCTATTCGTCGTCTATTCGCAACTTATTTAAATAATATTCAAAATGTGGCTTTATTGCTTGTTCTAAAGCCAAGTAAAACACATAATAAGAAAGCAGTTCTGTCATTAACCTATTTGTTGAATATAAAAACTCTTTTTATGTTTATGCATAGATTATTCTTATAGACCTAATTAATTGATCAAGTAAATCCTTAATATGAAATAACCCATTAACATGACACAGGTAAGGACTGAATATCTGTACATAGAAAAAAATGCTAAAAACCGAGTCATGGGGATGTACGGAGAGAAATAGAACAAATCCATATTTTTTGAATTTGTTTCTCTGTCTGTTCGTCTGTTTGTACGGGCTAATCTCCCGAAACTGTTAGGACCGGTTTAAATGAAATTTTGCATGGTGGTACCTTATATTATCCCCGGTCAACATTTTAGATACTTTTCATCCCGGAAAATTAAAAAATTCCCGTAGGATAGTTAAAAAACTATAGTAACTTATACTGTTAGTCACACAAAAACTACTGATTGGATTTTAATGAAACTTTGCAATAATATAGTTCATACATCAGAATAACAAATAGACTACTTTTTATCCTGGAAATCATCCCTTAAGGGAGTGAAAATGGGGATGAAAGTTTGTATGGGGAATAAACTTAGGGACGAACCCGAGCCAAGCAAAGGTGAGTCGCTAGTTTACTATAGTTACCAAATCTGAAATCAGATATTTTCGAAGTCGGTGCCAGCTGATACAAATCAAAGCACATAACCTTAATTAGGTATCTACAGTAAATGAAAACTAACCCCATAACAACAGTTATTAAAAATTTTGTATGTATGTATGTGTGTTGTGTTCGCGTTTCACGCAAAACAAAAACACTAAATTTTGAAACCGATAATTATAGACATTTAAAATTTGAAAGGGATATTGATTTTAGGCATCTCAATTAATCCCCTAAGGACTAATATAGGGGATGAAAGATTGTCTCAAATTCTTTTTAATGGCTTAAAAATCGCTATTAATGCGTCCTGACGCTGAATTAACGAAACATTAAAAGAGTTCCATATGCTTATCTATACATAATATAATAAAATTGTAACTAAGCCGAATCTGTACATTAAATATTTTTTGGAAAATCTTATTGAAATAGACATTATTATCGATACAGGGACCGAATCTATAGTTTTTAGAATTTTTGTCTGTCTGTCTGTCGGTCTATCTGTCTGTTACCGCATCACGGGGAAACCGCTTGAGGGATTTTGATGAAATTTGGTATGATCATAGCTGGTTATCCGGGTCAACATATAGGATACTTTTTACCGCGGGGAAATGTCTCATTTCTGAGAAAAAATACAAAAAATGCAACGTAAGAGTATACTAATATGTAAAACCTAAGAATTTGGTTTTTTGTCATCTGAATGCGGGCGGAGCCGCGGGCAATGCTAGTAGTTAATAAACAAACTCAAATCTCTGAAGGGGCCTCTACGTGTTGGACATGTACCCCACGCAAGCCTTCCGAAGGGGTCCTTCGAATACTGTGAAATCCAAAATACATACGAATTAATAAAAATAAAACGTTACGATACCTACTTATACCGAACAACTAATTTAAGTAGCTTATGAGATATGTAGTATTTATTGTTTTGTTAAAAAAAATAAAAATCCTAAAACTTTAAAATATATATTAAAACACCAGCGCTTCATTCTCGCTTCGCTCGGGTTCGCTTCTAGAAAAACAAAAATAAATCTATTCCACGGGAGCCGTACTATTTTCCGGAATAAAAAGTAGCCTATGTCCTCTTATTCCAGACTAATCTATATTTGTGTCAAATTTCATCCAAAACCGTTCTGGCGTAATTGAGTAACAAACAACCATCCAAACATATATACCTATATTTATATAAAAAAATGAATTTTCATTTTCAAAAATTCTAAAAACTAGATTCGGCCTCTGTATCGATAGTAATATGTCTATTTCAATAAGATTTTCCGAAAAATATTGAATGTACAGATACGGCTTAGTTACAATTTTATTATATGTATAGATTGTGATCAGAAATTGTTATTATGTAATCATATTTCTACGTGACGTAAAAATAATATATAATAAAATTTATACATAGTATACAATATTTAATAATTCATTAAGTATATAGATTGAAATGTGTGACCTAATTTATGACGACAACGGACAAGCTACGAGTAACTAGCTCAGCAAATCTATCGATTACTACAATATATGAACGGTATCTATTACATCGAGCTCTACCGAGTAACAAAATGAACTTGGCTTTACATTTCTGATAACAAATATTTCGTATGAATGATTGAATAAACTTAACAACTTTGATATGTTATAGAAAGTTTTGTTTAGTTAATCTATCAATGGAATCGTTCATGTACTCGACATCTGTTTACAAACAAAAAGTTCTGTTGCAATATTTCGTATCATTTTTTCTTTTATATGTATTTCCATGAAATAAAGACATGGTACCTACCTCACATAACAAAAGTAAAATTACCAGCTTATTGGAAATATAAAATAAATTAAATATTTTTCTATACTTTGTAAAAGGATGTTATTATTTTATTCTATTAATTCCGAGTCATTTCGCTCAACCGAGTACCTATGTTTTATCAGCAAGCGCTTGGCGCTCGAAACGGTGACTCATGAAGTCAGGCCGCGCCGGCGCCGCCATTTTACTTTACGCACCACGTGCTCATGTGCAATTCATTTTGTTCAAAAATTGTATCAAATATTTCATCATCTACCTATGAATTAAAAGATGTCTTCCTACCGAGAATACTAACATGAGCGAGAGTTCCCAGCGAATATTGTAATATAGTCAATTAAAATTACAACAGGGTGAAGCTAGTCGTGACATACAATGACATCTATCATTCGTATAAACGCGAGGAAGTCTTCCGTAGGCATACCTGCGGTATTTCGCCATTGTGTCCATAAGTAGATTGCGTTACTGGCGCGCCTGAGGAGACTTGACTTGCACTGACGCCGAAGGCTTTATTACGTTTTTGGTATTTAGTGATGCAACCGATGCAATGAGTAACTGAGAGGTTGCAAAAAGGGAAAAAATCGACACTGAAGGAATCGAATGCGAAAATGAAACCGAGGTGAGGGGGGAAATGCAAGGACGCGATAAAAAGTGGCACCAGCGCGAGCGTCGCCGAATGACTGAGCGGCAAGTAGTGAGCACACAGTGCAGTGCGGTGCGGCGCGGAGCGGAGCGGCGGGCGAGACGGACGTAGCGGCGACGGGGTGCGGGCGCGGTCCCCAGCACAACGGCCATGCCTTGCAATGCAAATTGCAAAACGCTGTCACCGTCGCCCGCGCTATTCCTGCCACCTACCTGACAAAAACTAACAATCCATTCACCCCACTCACTATAACTACTCTACTCTGCAACTTTCAAGGACAAACTACTCGTACTGACATTTGCAGGTATGTCCGTTGCGATCATATGTGTACTTTTTTCATAACAAACCCCTGTGGTACATACTAAAAGCTACGTGAAATACTACAAAACGTATCGGTAGTAATTTGAACACTTTCTAACTGTAAAAATTGAATGATATTTAGAACTAATTAAATCTTTAAATGTCATAGATTGTTAAAAATTCTGAATACTATATAAATTCCGAATCCATATAAAGTTAAAGGATTAGTCAGTTAAGATTATGCAAATAATATTATGAAGTTTTATGGTTAATATTAGAATGATACGTTTCATATACTAGAAATGAAATAAAAATATAAAGGACTTTGATATAAAATCTGAATGATGTATGTATATGATAGATGTATAGTCTGATACAGCTGTTAATTGTGTATAAAAAGTTTAATTTCCTGACCAGTAATAATCCAGTTTCATTCATTTTTAATTGCTGATATTATAACGTAAACATGATATTTTAAATGACTTATTATTTTTCGATAACGCTTTTTTTTATATTCGTCTTCTCGTATATACTTAAAATACAATGATACAAATTTTCGAGTCATTCCTTATTTATGATCTTCACGGAATATATTTTCAAAAGTTTTCAATAATACCGTAAATAGAATTATATAGAAAAACAAAAAACAAGTCTATCCACACGGGAACCGTACATTTTTCCAGGATAAAAAGTAGACATGTATTATTCCAGACTATAATCTATCTCTGTAACAAATTTCATTCAGATCGGT